ACACACACACACACACACACACACACACACACACACACACACACACAAAGAAGGCAACCTAAGGCAAAAATATAATGTAACTAAATCAATGAAAATTTCTGTAATTACTTAGAGTTAAATATGTGTATCCATAAAATGACATTTTAAAGAATATAGTGGAATGGAGAATAAAGAACTAATGTAACAATTTAAGGAACAAAGCATCTAATTAAAACATTAGAAACAAGTATTCATGGCTAAAGAGTGGTCCCTGGTGTAGACAACAGTGAAGTAGCTAAAGGAAAGCAAGAAACATTAAAACAACCTCAAAAAGCTCTGAAGAAGACAACAACAGCTAATACAAAGAGAACTGGTTTTTCCAAAGTGCAGAATGCAACAAAAGGAAAAGAAGCCATGTTCAAATACATGACCCATGTGGGTCACCAGATCTCCTGAAACCAAGGAATCTGATGACCCTAACCAGCAGGAAGCAGCTAAGAAAGAACTGTGCCCCTTTCCCACTAACCCTTTCTCCTACCCAGTGTTGGGAGTGTTGGAAAGGATTGGGGTGGAGTAGGGAGAAAAAAATAAAAGAAATGTAAATAAAAGTGTTTTTAAAGTATGCCAACAACTTTACATACTGATAAAAGTAGTGATATATAACAATCACAAGACAAACCATGATTGATAAATTAAATGAGAAAAGAAAAATATGTGCATCTATAACAACAGTCAAGGATTTAAAGAAGGAGAAAATCATACCATGTTTATGGATTGGGAGATTCAATATTATTAGTGTATCAATTATCAAGCTAGATGTGGTGGTACAAAATTCAGAAGCCTGAGACAGAATAATGGTTATCCTTCCTCATACAAGCAAAAGATTTCAATTATCCTCATGCTGATTAGAGCGATCATGCTCAGAATCCCATACACTGAGCACACTGACTAATGATCTTACTCAGGCATTAACGAAGAAAAATGAATACTTGTATCTACACATGAAAACCTGAATATAACTTCTTAGAGCAGTGGTTGTCAACCTTCCTAATGCTACAGCCCTTCCTCATGCTGTGGTGACCCCCACAACCATAATATTATTGCTACTTCATAATTGTAATTTTGCCACTGTTATGAATCATGATGTAAATATCTGTGTTTTCTGATGATCTTAGGTGACCCCTATGGAAGAGTCATTTGTCCCCAAAAGGGTTGAGAACCACTACTGTATTCTAAGATGCTAGTAATTCAGGATATTGGGTCTTCATATGCGACAGTGGTCATGTATACTCCTCTATGAAGAAAGGGTCTGCTTTAAGATAGTTACAAGTCTGTGAACTTGTGAATGCTAACGACATGCTAAACATGTAAAAGTATAAGAAATGAAACACTGGGGTAGCCTCCTGCTTCGCTAGAAATAAATCTCCCAACTCCACAAAAACTAACGTTTATTTACAAGCAAGATAAAAAAGTTCTGGTTTTGGAGAGTGGTTTTCTCTTATTGTAAAAATCCATTTGCCAACTTATTTGGCTGATCTCCACATATTTACTTATCTTTATTTTTTATTTTATTTTTATTTTTTTACTTATCTTTTAAAATAACTTATTACAGAACTCACATCTACCTTAGTAAACAACCAGTCTTTTAATATTTTCAGTGTCTTATCAAAACATGGGGAATAAAAGTCTTCATTCTACAAGGGAAGAAAATAATGAAGACACAGTATCTGGGGAAAAGATGTAAATTCCACTAGAGGGTCACGAAGATGATCAAGCTGTTTTGAAAATGGCAAACCACATCCAGCAGTATTTCTCTTCATTCTAGGTTCCGCAATAGCACTGACCAACACAGGTGAGTTTCTTTCATCACTGTTGGCACATTACCTGAGTAGCCAGCCACCAGGGCTGGTTCTACATTAGCAGAGATGGAGTGTACAGGTTTGACACCCAATAACAGGAATTTCAAAAGTATATTACACATAATAAAATTTCACTTAGAAAACAAAATACTCTTTATATTTCATATAAAAGTATCAAAAAGGGTATAAAATTCTTTTTACCTGTAGACACTCAACAAATGTATATTTACTATCTGTTATATGGTACCAGAAGCTAATATAGACACTAGAAATTTAGTAGAAAAATAAGTGTTGGCTCAGCCTTCTAAGAATTAAAATTGTAGTGAAAAAAGCAGATACTAGCAAAAGCCTAGAAATCACTAACTTTATTCTAATTTTTCTAGAAATTAGAAGAAGACAGTAACATGGAGTCTGATGTTAGTTGGTAGGTGTCTTACATGAGAAAACTGGAGGGAGGTTTTTGATACTCTTCTTCAGAGTCAAGCAGGTCTTGAGGGGCCTTGCATTTTCCCTCTAGCTTTAATGCAAAAGTATTTCAACTAGCTTCAGTCTAACAGTTAATGCAGTACAGCTTTATTTTCATTGTTATTGCCATGCCTCCAGTGCCCGATATAGTTCCTAGGACCCAAGCAAACAATTTATGTCTGAATAACAATGCAACCCCAAATATGGAATGTCCACCCTGAAAAAGTTTTGCCTTTTTTGTGTGTGGTGGAAAGTAAACAGAAGTGCAACTGACAGGGAAAGAGTACAGCCCTAAGCGCAATGGCTGGTCTAAGTGCCTAAGTTGAGTTTACTGAGACGGACAGAAATTGGGACTGCTGAAGCAGTTTCCTTAAACTAGTTGTATGGTGTTTTATGTGTGATTTAATTAAAATAAAGTGAATTTTCCAGTTAAAAAAATACATGCATGGTAATATAGAATTTTTTATCATAGCAGCTGACAACGATGTGCCTCAAGCTCTAACAGAGGCATGATTTTGCCAGCTGCAGGTAGCTTCTGTGATTGTGTGACACTCGGAATTCTGAGGACTTTTCAGAAGCATACAATATGCTAGAGCCCCGGTAGGTGGGTTGTGGGCTAGTTGGTTGGTTGGTTGCTTGTTGTTGTTGTTGATTGCAGTTTGTTAAGTAGTCGTGTATAGAGAAGAAACAACAAGAAAAAAAAAATCAGATATCTTGATGGCAAAGATCCAACTTGCCCCACAGAGCTCAATGCCCCTAATCAGCAGGAAGTAGTCTAACGGAAAAGTCACCTTTCCCCATCCCTGACGTTATTCAGGGATCTCTCTTCTTTCCTCTCTATCCTTTTTTCTCTCAGATCTAGTGTCAGAGGGTTGAAAGGGGAGAAGAAAAGGGGTGGAGAAGGGTGGAAGAAAGAACCCACAAAGTAGCAAATGCTGGCTACATGTTAACAGTGAAAATAAGCAACTGTATAACTGCTATGGGAAATAGTATATTTGATTCCTTTGAAAAAAAATTAAACAATATATAATACACAATTTCACTACAATGTATATATCCAAAAGCAGTAAAAATAAGAACCTACTAGAACACTGTATGTGTTCATAACTGCATTATTACTCATATCCACAGGGTAAAAGTAACCCATGTGTCCAACAACAGATGAAGGCAAAAGCAAAATCTATTATATGAATATAATGGAACATTACTCAGCTTTTAGAGATTTCTAATGCATCCTATAACATGGATGATACTTAGGAACCCTACACTACATGAAACAAGCCAAACAGAAAACAACGAATACATGTACTTCTATTATATGAAGTTACTGGAAAAGTAAAATTTATGGAAGCAGAAAGTAGAAGATTGAGGAACTAGAAAAAGTTATTATTTCATTTTTGTTCCATTTTGAGATGATGAAAAAGATAGTGATGACATTTGTACAAGATGTGAAAGTGGTTAATACTACTCAGTGAAGTATTAAAACTGTTAAAATGGTAAATTTTGATCAATATATTTTACCATAATTTTTAAAAAGATGATGAAGGAATGAAGGAAGAACAGACGACAGGTATTGGAGAAATGAAAGAATACAGAAGAGACTATCATATATCCAACACAAGAAACCTCGTAAGGTAAGAACACTTCCAAAGCAAGAGAACTCTTTCTCTTAACAGTGTTTTTACCGAATTTGCTAAGTTTATTCCAGCACTGGAAAAGGATCTTAAAGTATGAGTCACGAGCAGCCTGACAAGTGTTAGATGCAGGAAGGCAGTGGGAAAAGAGCGAAAGAAGGAACTAGTAGTAACAAATTTCCCCAGACAGGGTGACGTTCTCCACGCTATGTCAAAAATGGAAGTTGGTTAGATTTTCCTGAGCTAACACAATAAACAGAAATTTTAGGAAATGGTAGAGATGGTTTTAAAGTGACATTTCACTTATTCATCAACAAATACTGATTTGGGCTTTTAATGAGCCCAGTCTAATTCTACAGGTATGTGGAACATACTAGTGAATAAAATAAAAAACATAGATCAATTCATAGCTCCTGTTTTCAAAGAGCTTGTGCTTTTATGGTAAGGTAAAGAAAGACAATGTACAGACACAAATATGTTAATAATAAAACATGTTATGGATGAGTAGGGGGTTACAAAATGTTTGCAACAAATGAACAAGCATATGCAGACAGACAGGCAGAAGACAAAAAGATGGTTGACAGGTAAACAAGTGAAATGGGGAAAACTAAAATAGAAGTTTGAAAGGAGAAAAATAAAATAGATGGCCAGGGACTCATGTATATGAAGGATAAGCACTAATGGGATCTAAAACTAATTTGATATGGGTAGGATCAGGGCATAATAAAGAAAGTAGTTACTAGAAATGAAGCAATGGAGACAAACACATGCATGGAAATGAAGGACTTCAATCAGCATTGAGAAATTCTTACTTTATCCTGAAAACACTGCAGCGTGTTTATTAAAGCTGCAACATAAACAGATCCCTATCTGAAAAAGCTGACTCCAGTGACTTCTGTTTTTGGCAAAAGATAATCTACATAGTTCCATTAAGAGAAAATAAAAACCCTAGACATCATATTTAAAATGAATAAATGATCAATGAATAAGTAAGAAATGATGAAATGTGGTAAGACAATTTGGAACATTGGGACCTGAGGAATAAAAGTGTGAGCTCCAACGTTTTCTTTTCATGTATCCCAGAAATGGACCTGTCCCATAAGGAGACCAACAAAATTAAAACCTCTGAGCCCAGGGGTCCTGAAGAGACTGATGCACCAACCAAGGACCATGCGTGGAGAGGACCCTTGCTCAGATGTAGCCTATTGGCAGCTCAGTCTCCATGTAGGTTCCTGAGTAAGGAGAGCAGGGGCTGCCTCTGTCATGAACTCGGTTGCCTGCTTTTTGATCACTTGCCCCTGGCAGTGTGGCCTTGAGAGGCCACAGAGGAAAAGGACCCAAGTAGTCCTCATGCGACTTAAGCTATGGGAAGATGGCAAAGGACTAGAACTCCCCATTTCAGTGGACTAGAGGAAGGGGATGGGGGGGGGAAGAGGTAGGGAGGGTGGGATCTGGAAGACTTGAGGGAAGAGGGCTTCAATAAGGATATATAATTGAATAAACGCTGAAAAAAATTTTTCAAAAAAGATGGCAACCCAGAAAAGCCAACAAGTAAAAGGGGGGAAAAAGGCCCCTATCACCCCAAATCTTGGTCTTCCCAGACAAAGGACCAAGAAAGGGCTGTCGTATATTCTATTAGTGAGGAAGGAGAAGAGAGCACCTTTAGGAGAGTAACTACAAGTTACTTTTATATATTTCAGTAAGAACAGCAGCTGGATTTAAAAGGAAGATAAATTGTTAAAAGCACAAAGTCTAGAGCACTAAAATGAGTTAAAGGGTGTGAAGCTTTGTATGAGATGGCCAAGAAGACCTGATTAGAGCCAAACAGGCTTGAGGAAGTAAGGCCCATGATGACAGTCTAGCTACCTAATCTCTACGAGACCTTTTTCCTTTGGGAAAAACATGCTGGGCAATATTGTTTATTTCATTTTCTTGCTTTTAATACACTGTATCTAACACAAATAATCTATAATAGGCCAAGTATTAAGAAACAATGGCTTCTAAAGTATCTGACTTATTTCAGAAAAGAGACCCCAGACTCTCTCATAGAGATAAAAGCTAATCAAGAACACTCCAGCTCCTTTTCAGTGGCTCTGGGAACAAAGGACATCATATAATGAACAGCTGGTAAGATACCTGCAAGGTCCAACAGTAGCTGGTGGCCAAATAACTTAACAGTCAGCAATGAGTCAGTATCAGCAACTAAGCCAGAATCAGATATGAATAGAGGCAGGCTTTAACTATACTTGTGTGTGGACAAGCATGAACAAAACATTTTTTATGCCCAAGAAGGATCTATATTTAATTTCCATTGGTATGAAACAACAAACTTGGGAGTCACTGCCCAAGGTTGGTCTTTGATGACTATAAGTATCTGATAACTTAGGTCTTTGCACCCCTCCTGTTAAGCAGGCCATGATAGGTTCTGTCATTCTCCAAAACCCTGCACCATTAACAACAGTGGTACATCTACACAATGGAATATTACTCAGCAATGAAAAAGAAGGAAATCATGAAATTTGCAGGTAAATCCTATCCAGTGGGAACTGGATAGGATCATCCTGAGTGAGCTATCCCAGAAGCATAAAGACACATACAGTATATACTCACTCATATAGACATATATTATAGGATAAACCTACTAAAATCTGTACACCTAAAGAAACCAATCAAGAGGGAGGACTCTGACTAAAATGCTCAATCCCCATCGTGAAAGGCAAAGCGGATGGACATCAGAAGAAGAAGAAAATAGGAAACAAGTTAGGAGCCTCTCACAGAGGGCCTCTGAAAAGCTCTGCCCTGCAGACTATCAAAGCAGATGTTGAGACTTACGGCCAACTGTTGGGCTGAGTGCATGGAATCTTATGAAAGAAGTGGGAAATAGTAAGATCTGGAGAGGACAGGAGCTCCACAAGGAGAGCAACAAAACCAAAAAACTTGAGCTCAGGGGTCTTTCCAGAGACTCATACTCCAACCAAGTACCATGCATGTAGATAACCTAGAACCCCTGCACAGATGTAGCCCATGGCAGTTCAGTCTCCAAGTAGGTTACATAGTAATGGGAAGAGGGACTGCCTCTGACATGAACTGACTGGCCTGCTCTTTGATCACCTCCCCCTGAGGGGGGAGCAGCCTTACCAGGCCACAGAGGAAGACAATGCAGCCACTCCTGATGAGATCTGATAGACTAAGATCAGAAGGAAGGAGAGGAGGACCTCCCCTATCAGTGGACTTGGGGAGGGGCATGGGCGGAGAAGGGAAAGGGAAAGTGGGATTGGGAGGGGAAGAGGGAGGGATTTATGGAGGGATACAAAGTGAATAAAGTGTAATTAATGAAATTTTTAAAAAAAGAAAAAACAACAGTAAAATAAAACAAAAAGCTCTTAGAAAACTACTATATTTGATTTAAACATCACAGAAACTCACATAACATGGTGGTACACACTTTCAATCCCAGCATTTAGGAGGCAGGGGTAGGCAGATCTCTGATACCTCTTTATCCCCATGCTGACCCCTGTCAACCATGGGAGATGAATCTGCACTTTCAACCTGAGGCTAAAATGAGACGCCAAAGCACACCCACAAAGGTGGAGTTCTCAAAACAAACAAGCAAGCAAACAAACAACGCACACATACAAAACTGGTAAGGATTACGAGATTCCCAGGGTTAGTGGAGAACAAACTAGGACTTTACTTTTGCTCCATCTAACAATTAAAGAGATCTCAGTGTGCACATGAACACAACAATGACGGGTAAGCAAGACATTCCTAGAGGATGCAATAGTGGCACTCACACCTTGGCAGGAGCCAACAGCTGTCTAAGTAGATTTAAAGCCTGCTCAACAGGAAAGAAATCATGTCTGTCTAAGAATGAATACCATAACTACACAGAAAACCAACAACACTATAGAAAACCTCAAAAACATTCTTCAACAACAGGATCTAATCAGTATTTATAAAACAAACTATCTAGAATAGCAGGAATACACATTCATCACAAGTGGCTAGGGAACATAAGTTAAGAAAACTGTATCTTAGGCATAAAAACAAACCCTAAGGACTCTAAGAGAACTGAAGTCATCAGGTGGTATTACAAAACTGATGAGAAAAATAGAGTAGTTAATTCTTCAAACACAAAGCACTTTCTCAATTAGAGTCAAACTAAAAAAATGTAAAACATTTGAGCAAAAAAGAAAATACAACATACTGAAATTTTAGAGGGTACAGTAAAAAAAAAAATCAATGACAAATTTATAGCCCTCAATTCATGATTTATTTGTATGTGTGCTGTTCTCTTGTCTGCAGCAACCCTCTTCTTCAAACTTTACATCTACCTCCCAGTCATATACACCATTTTCCAGCCAAATTCTATCGCTAAAGTAGGTCTGTTAGTCATCTTTATTCTCTCTAGGTGGGTGTGCCTTCGATGTATTCTCTATGTACCACCCTTGATCTACTTTCCCAAAGCTCTTTCATCTGTGTGGCAATAGTGGCCTACATACTTATTTTCCAGATCAAAGTATGAACCCCATGAAATCAGCATGGATTTTTATTTGCCTTTTCCTCAGTGTCATATAACTCACAACATCAACAGGACTCAACAGTGATGTGTGAATAAAACCATTTCTTAAAATCTACTAAATTAATGATGAACCTCAAAAAGTTACCTGTTACTTGTTTTCTTAGTTTTTCAATCTCTTCTTTCAAGCTTTTAATTTCCAAATCTTTGCTTGCTGTTAGTGGACCATCAACAGTTGAATACTGCAAAGCTTGGACAGTCTGTGTTGACTCTGAAAAGAAAAAATTAAAGAATTAAAACCAGAGATTTAATTTTTTTTAAAACAAATGTCAACATATCTCGTCACAGTTTTTTAAAACAGTTCCACAGGTCAAAACTCATTGAAAACACTTAAGAATACATTAAAGCATACAGTTCCATTGAGAATATTTAAATCTTGTAAACAAGATACCCAAATAGACTCGAATGAAGGGACTTTCTAATATATGAGGTTTGGGGTTTGAAGCACTGTTCATCAACTATGACAAAGAATTAATTACTCAATCTTTCATGTTGTTTTTTTTTCCCTAATTAAGACCATCATCTTGAGACTAAAAGAAAATCACCCTTCAGATAATGTGTGAAGAACTAAGACATGAAGAAAAGTTTAGATGTACATATATATACACACACAGTGTAGACATGAAGACCTTCTGGGTTTTATAGAGGAAATTAAAGATCTATCTACAGGTGACTTTGGCTTAACAATTTAGTTAAAACATTTGATAAAATACAGATCAATTTATTTTTTAGATTTGTAAAATCTTCTCTTTTTTAATTTTTTAAAAATAATTTTTATTTTTTTCTATTAATCACAGGTTATTTACTTTGTATCCCAGCCGTAACCCCCTCCCTTATCCCCTCCCAATTCCACCCTCCCTCCCTCATCAACTCCCTGTCCCTTTCCAAGTCCACTGATAGGAGAGGTCCTCCTCCCCTTCCATCTGACCCTAGCTTATCAGGTATCTTCAGGACTGGCTGCAATGTCCTCCTCTGTGCCCTAGCTAGGCTGCTCCTCCATGGCGGGGGGAGGGAGGAGAAGGTCAAAGAGCCAGCCATCGAGTTCATGTCAGAAATAGTCCCTGTTCCCCTTACTAGGGTACCCACTTGGATACTGAGCTACTATGGGCTACATCTGAACAGGGGTTCTAGGTTATATCTATATATGGTCCTTGGTTGGAGAAACAGTCTCATAAAAGACCCCTGTGCCCTGATATATTTTGTCCTTGTGGAGCTCCTGACCTCTTCAGGTCACACTAACCCCCTTCTTTCATATGATTCCCTGCACTCTGCCGAAGGTTTGGTTATGAGTCTCAGCATCTGCTTTGATACATTGCTAGGTAGAGTCTTTCATAGGCCCTGTCCTGTTACTTGTTTTCTCCTACTTCCAATGTCCATCCCATTTGCCTTTCTAAGTGAGGATTGATCATCTTACCCCGGGGCCTCTTTCTTGTTTACTTTCTTTAGGTGTACAGATTTTAGAATGTTTATCCTATCTTATAGGTCTAGTACCCACTTATAAGTGAGTATATACCGTGTGTGTCTTTCTGCTTCTGGGATACCTCACTCAGGATAATCTTTTCTAGATCCCACCATTGTCTGCAAATTTCATGATTTCCTTGTTTTTAATTGCTGAGTAATATTCCATTGTGTAGATGTACCACAATTTCTGTATCCATTCCTCCGTTGATGGAGATCTGGGTTGTTTCCAGGTTCCGGCTATTACGACTAAAGCTGCTACAAACATGGTTGAGCAAATGTCCTTGTGTACTTGAGCATATTTTGGATATATGCCTAGGAGTGGTATAGCTGGATCTTGAGGAAGCGCTATTCCTAATTGTCTGAGAAAGCGCCAGATTGATTTCCAAAGTAGCTGCACAAGTTTACATTCCCACCAGCAATGGAGGAGGGTTCCCTTTTCTCCACAACCTCTCCAGCATGTGTTGTCACTTGAGGTTTTTATCTTAGCCATTCTGATGGGTGTAAGGTGAAATCTCAGGGTCGTTTTGATTTGCATCTTCCTGATGGCTAAGGACACTGAGCATCTCTTTAAGTGTTTCTCTGCCATTCTATATTCTTCTACAGAGAATTCTCTGTTTAGCTCCGTACTCCATTTTTTAATTGGATTGCTTGATTTATTGCCTTTTAACTTCTTTAGTTGTTTATATATTCTGGATATCAGCCCTCTGTCAGATATAGGGTTGGTGAAGATCCTTTCCCAGTCTGTAGGCTGTCATTTTATTCTGATAAGCTAGGGTCAGATGGAAGTGGAGGAGGACCTCCCCTATCACTGGACTTGGAAACAGGCAGGGAGGAGATGTGAGAGGGAGGGTAGGATTAGGAGGGAGGGAGGGAAGTAGGGAGGGAGGGAGGGGGCTATGGCTGGGATACAAAGTAAATAACCTGTGATCAATTTATCTTGAAGTTGTATATAGAATATGAGTACTATATGAGGTGTTTGCCAATTACTAGCAAAAGAAGAACAATTCATATATAAAAAAAAAAAAATGAAACCACCTTTTGTCCTAAAATAGTTTTTCTGCTATTTATGGAAGACTCATTCTGAAAAGAAAACAATCCCTTATAATGCATCTTGTAACACTCTAAGTTCAATTCAAACAAATAAACAAAAAACCAAGAACACAAACCATCAAAATATTTACCTTGAAGTTTTCTAGTAAGTTCAAGCTTTTCCTGTTCCAGCCGCTTAATTCTTCTTTCATAAGCTTCAGTTGCTAAGTTATTATCTAGAGTCCTCTGGACATTTACATCAAGATCCAGTGAGGTGGGACCGGCTGTGACTCTTAAACAGCTCCGATCAGAAAGAACACTGAATGAAAAAGATATGTAGGTTCATATTGCAATAAAGTTTGAAGAAAAAAAGAATTTTAAACTTCTTCATGTAAGACACAGATTTGAATATCTATAATAAAACATCTAGAATCCCACAAAATGACTATAAATTTTTTTCTGAAAAATTACCATAACCTATTTGTAGAAGTATTTTTAAATGAAAACTTATATCGCCAAATTATCTTTAAACTTAAAACTCCATAAATTATAAAGTGAAGTTTACTGAAGGGCTATTAGTTTAAAACAATCTGACAAGTGAAGTTAAAACCACCAGCATGTATTCATTAATAGAAACTGAAATTCAAGACTTTAAAATGAGGTGCTTTTCTGACTGCACACTAAGGGTAGTTGAGATGACAGACATCCATCAGTGAATCACCCCTAGATAAAGAACCACAGCATCTAATGAGAGCTGAGAGAGGAAAGATCAGTCTTTCTGAGAGATGAAATGCCTAAATGTTTATCTAGTTCTAAACAGCCCCAAAGTCATATGCACACAAGTAACACTGAATGGACTCAAAGAAGTATGTATGTATTTATAGGTGTGTGTGTGTGTGTGTGTGTGTGTGTGTGCATGAATGGGAATGGGAAGGAGGCCATGAGAGGAGTTGGCTGAGTGGGCACAGGAGTAACCGGAAGAAGGAAAGAACAGGGCATAATGCTGTAATTGCATTTTAATTAAAAAAATTAAACAGACAAAATTTCATGCCAATATTTTATATTCTACCAACAGGGACAGAGTACATAAAATATTCAGTACATTAGAAAGCATTAACTTCTAAAGAGAAAATATGAAGCAGGAAAGATGTGCTGAGAGGGAGAAGATAAAACTTGAGGTGGAGTAACAGAAAGCGGTGTTTATGACAGTAACTAAGGAAAGCCAAGGCGGTGTGAGGATGAAGACCATTCCAAGAGCAGAAGCCTGGGCATCCAGACACCAGGGCCGTCGGGGAGGCTCATGCAAGAGCAACATGGACAACAACTGGAAGAGCAGTAGGGAACAGAAAGACGACTGAGTCAGTTGTACAGGCTTTAGAAGAACTTTGGTTTGCAGCTAACACAGAAAGAAACAGGAATTAGGGAGTAGAGAGACTTGGCCATGAACAAGGAACATAGGTTAGCTTATCTTCCTACAGGGCAATTTTGATAGATGTAGAAAACAAAAGTTATAAAAATATTCCACAGGAAGCAAAGACAGATCTCAAATAGAAGACAAGGGATTCTCCACAAGAGACACACTTTCATGTCATTAGGAAACAAAGTTCCATGGCTGAGCCCCACACTCTAATATTCAGAAATCAGGAAGAGGAGGCCTCAGGGTTAGACTGAGGAATGGACACAAAGATAAATGCTTTGGGTGTGGAGCAGCCAAGGTGAGAAAAGGCAACTAAGACTAGAACTAAGAAATAGTCCCTCCACTTAGTAACACAGGAGCCACCGGTGATGTTGCCTAACCAGTTTGCATGAGGTGCCGGGGCACAAACCTGAAATGAGTGGATTCAAGGAAGAACAGTATTTAAATGATGGGCAGTGAAGAGAAGTAATTTGGCTGTGCAGCAAAGAAATAATTGGTATGAGGTACAAGATCTAGAAGGTTCTGTATTCTAAAATGGAAGAAATAATTATGTGTCTGGTAAGATAGCTGGGCAAGGTGTAAAGAAGTGGATGGCACATAAATGAGAAAAGCTGTGACATAAAAGTGAACAGCATATTAGGACAAGCAGAAGGAGATGGAAGGAGCATCCAGGCATCACCCTTGAAAAGAAGAGCCTGTGTGAGTCTGAGGGACACAGAAAATGGTAGCAGGAACTTGCAGCTGGTATCTGCAGCTGATGTCAGTCTTCAGGGAGGCAGAAGCAAGATCATCAGCTGAGGATGAGGGTCACCATAGATTGCAAGGGCAAGAATGAGGTGTGAAATGGTCACCTAAGTACATACAGAGCAAAACAAACCAGGGTGACTCCATACGTGTACCACACTGCATATGGTACTAGGAACTGCTGAACCTCAGTTTAAAGCTAGTCTGATTGCTAAGAAACATCTGTTTGCTCCAGCACTTTGAACTGCTTAGGTTAAAAAACAAAGTGAACATTCACTCACAAAGAAAGTCCAGCAGCTGAGAGATAGCCAAAGGGACTGACATGGCCCACAGGAGCTGACTGCAGTGATTCCTCTGGGACTAAGAGAGGAGGGACCAGAGGACAGAAACATGGAGAGTAGAGAGTGCTGTGGACACTGGGGTGGAAATGTTGGTGCTTGACATATGCAGAGTATTCATTAAGTGCCCTGGTGCTGTTTCCTGCCCTGTTTCCATCAGGTTCAACCTTCACGTCACTTGTCCTCATCTCCCTCCAAACAGTTGGTTCTTGAGTAGTTTATTATACTTAGAATAACAAAATGGGCTTATCATTTATTTTTTATACATTTAAATCCAGCTCTATGCCATAACTACAACCATACATTCCATTTTCAAGCTTCAACTTACTTACATAATTACCCAAATTATGTTGACTTTTGAAACTTACCAGCTACTAGTATATGTAAAACCAACAAATGGTAGATGATGGCCAGAAAATGCAGTATGTGTTGGTGGGGGCATTGTTTCCTAAGAGAAAATAAAAAGAATACCAATCTGGTAAGAAATCTATAGTTATGACCCATAGATTAGACTACAAATTTTAACTGTCAATGGGCATATGCAACCACTCAATTTAGAGACAGTGACAAGTTTGACAGAGATGGTGATATAAAATGCAGACTCTGAGCACTGCTACTACAAAACTCTAATAAACAAGCATAAAGGTTAAAAGCCTAATTAAGAATGAAATTATGGGGCTGGAGAGATGGGTCACTGTTAAGAGCACTGTCTGCTCTTCCAAAGGACCTGAGTTCAATTCGCATCACCCACATGGCAGCTCACAACTATCTTCAATTCCGTGGATTCTGACACCTTCTTACAATTGCACAAAAAATAAAATTAAATTAACTTAAAAAAATTAAATTATACGGCCAGGAGTGGTGGCACACTTCTCTAATCCCAGCACTTGGGAGGCAGAGGCAAGCAGGTCTACCATACCAGCCAAGGACAGCCCAGGGGTCTGTTATACAGAGAAACTGTCTCAAAAAAACCAAAGGGGAAAAAAGTGAAATTACAGTCATTTTCTACATATTTTGTATCTGAAAATTTGTCTAGTTTTTTTTAATAGAGAAAAGGCTTAACTATGTAGCCCAGACTGGCCTCAAACTTATGATCTTCCTATGTCTGCCTCAAAGTGCTGAAATTATAGGCATGTTTTATCACAGTTTTCAAGCTAAATTTATTTGCAAGTGGAAAACAGGTATCATCAGTGCTTATGAGGTCCTTGAAGAAGTGTGTAGAGCATAGGGGATGAGTGCTGTCCTCTGCGCCTCATGCTGAGACTAGACATGAACACTCTTTTCTCACAGTGGAAGCAGATGTCCTGGGCACACTCTAAACATCTGTGCCTTTTATGATAGTATTTATGTATAAAGAACTGCTGTCTGATCACTGCTTTTTTTCTCTTTTTTTTAATTTCAAGACGGTCCTGCTATCTAGCCCAAGCTAGCCATGAACTCAAGATCCTTTCCCGTCATTCTTCCAAGTGATAGAGTTATAGGCGTGTGATTCCACGCCTGGCTCGCATATGATGTTGTAAAGGAAAATGGTAATCATGTGCCTTTACAGAGCAAACAAGTGTCAGATAAACTGTTTAGGGAGTTAACTGCTGACAGTCATGAGCTCAGTGTTAATGAACTAGTATATATGATTATGCACAGTATCTTTAAATAGAAGTACATATAAACACTGTTGAATAAAAGTACATTCAACATTGTTGAAAATTTAAATAGAAGTACATTCAACATTGTTAAAAATGTGACCAGAGGCAAACCACACCCTTGTTTCTTTAAGATTATACTTACATTTCTCCTTTTCTTCCTCCCTCCAACCCCAACCATATGCCCCTCCTCACTCTTTAAGGGGCCTACACAGCAATGGTCAATGTCACCTAACTTGGTGTTCACCATAACTTTGTAAAATATTAACTACTGTGAATAATGAAAATCAACTGAATGTTTACTTAACTTAGAATGACTCAGAATTTCTGTCAACAATGAATATAATTTTAAAAAACTGGCAAGGAAAATCTAAAATCCTAGCTCCTTCTTGTGATATTTAAATAGTTTAACAGCTCTTTATTTATCTTGAACATAGTACTTAATGGTAAAAGGTGATATAAAATTAATATAAAATTAAATTCAGCATTGAACTAAAACCAAAGATATAAAATTACTGAATAAATTAACAGCTTAATAACTACTGTATAACTGCTAAGAGAAAAACAGTACTGGCACCAAACTAATGAATAAAAAAATGTTACTTTATAACCATACTTAAAAGAACCAGAAGGAGCCAAGTGCGGTGGTAAACACCTGTGATCCCAGCATTTGGGAGGCAGAGGCTGGTGGATCTCTGTGAGACCAGCCTGGTCTACAAAGCAAGTCCAGCACAGCCAAGGCTATACACAGAAACCCTGTCTCGAAAAAAACAAAACAAACAAACAAACAAGCAAACCAAACAAAAACAAAAAAGGAACAGAAGGACAGGACACCTTCTTAATGTCATACTCACAGAATTCTTTAAACAGTCATCATCCACATCAAAGTTTGATGTATCTGTTGGGCTACTAACTTCTGGAATGTACGGTGCCTCACAGTTTCGGATATTATCCCAATCAATTCCACTAAAGAATGGATGTTTCTTAAAATCTTCTATTCCATTTTGGCCAAGTCGATGTTCTCTGCTACAAATGAGTCTTCGGATAAGATCTTTAGCATTTTCAGACACATCAGTCACCTGGGGTGGAAACTGAAACCTCTCCTACAGAAAATAACATTTGTACAATGCAAATCAGCAATTATCTTACAAAATGGTGGCAAAATTATTTAAATGCATTTTCCTTTGAAAAAAATCTAGTATTTGAAGTCACAGAGCACTATACAGGGATAATGAGAAACAAATTCTTTTCCTAAAAGGATTTTTAAATCTCTAAGTTACTTCATGACAGATGAACTACAAAAAGATGCTATAGAGCAGTGGTTCTCAACCTTTGAGTCATGACCCCTCTAGAGGTCGCATATCAGATATCCTGAATATCAGATATTTACATTATGATTCATAACAGTAGGAAAATTAGTTATGAAGTAGCAACAAAATTAATTTATGGTTGGAGGTTAACACAACATGAGGAACTGTATTAAAGGGTCACAGAATTAGGAAGGTAGAGAACCACTGCTATAGAATATTAAGCTGCTGATAAAATGAGGTGGATCTGATTAAAAGTAGCAGAATATAACTCAGTATTTCAAAATAATGTAGATTATTGATAATGTTCATGTACAATATAAAATATCATTAAACATTTAATGTTAATCATTAAACATTTGAATATTTAACATGTATCTAGCACTATTCAAAGTGATTTACTTATTTAACCCATTTAATCCTCATAATAATCCTTTGGTAGGAAGTGATATTATGATAATTTTGTAGAAGAGGAAACTGCGGTTATAGGCATTTTCTCAATGTTATACAACTAACAATTGACAGTAAGGGTCTTGACCTGAACTCTCTCCAGCAGCATGCTACACTGAAGTGACTCCCTTCTGAATGGCAGACATGCTACAAATGCTACTACATACAACCTCAACTTCTCCCTTCCCTTCAGCTCTTTATAACTACTTACTGCGCTGTTGCTGCTGCTCAGTAGAAGACACAGTCTATAAAATTGATTTATATGTGTAAAACAACTAATTACATTTAAATCAGAATCAACTAAAAGGTATAGATTATCCTATTCTTCTGGCATATTCAGATTCATATTGCAGACTTTTGCAACTGTTCACAATCTTTTGAAACTAGAAAGTTACTCTTCTTTTGTACTGTTTATTCTGTTTAACTTAGTGCTGTATGATGACAGCTCTGCGATCTTGTTCCTGCTGTGTATCTAGATTTCAGCCAGTGGGCTGTGACCATTAACACTGGAGCAGATATACTCTATACACACCTTTGTTCTAGCTATCTCCACCAGGCTGACTTCTAGACCTAACCTTGTTCCATCAAAAGCTCTAACCATAATTTTAAGGCTCAAGATGTACAACTGTTAACTTTGTGACAAAAATTTACAATCTGTAGCCCTGTCAATAAAATCTGAGGAATGCCCATTACCCTGCCTTTATTGGAGTACAGAATACAATGTTTCATTTTGTCTTTGCCAGTTTGACAGAAGAATTTCAGTAAAAACAAAACAAAACTCTGATTGTTGTGTGTGTCCATGGTGGTGTGTGTGTGTGTTTCTATGTGTGGTGTTTATGTGTACGTGAGTGCCCTGTGTGTGTGTCATGCTGCCCGTGTGAAGGTCAGAGGACGGCTTTTTGTGGAGTCAGTTCTCCCCTTCCATCTTTCAGTGTGTTTTAGGAACTGAACTCGGGTCACAGGCCGGCACAGCAAGCGCCTTAGCAGCACAGTCATCATCTTGCTGCCCTCACACTTCATTTATTACTAAGAATGCAGATAATTTTCATATGCATGCTTGTCATGACTGTACATATTATATAGTAAAAACTCATTAAAGAGCTACTTTTGAGCTCTGTTATTCAACTATATAGACCAATTTTCTATATAGGAGTACTTCTAAACAAAATAAAGGAAAAAGTTAAAACTAATTATTCCATCGATTACGATTATGACTGTCCCCTAAGGCAAAAAATATGATGTTTTATTGTTTTGTAAAAAGTACTTTCTCAGATGCACACAGTATATACTCACTCATATAGACATATATTATAGGATAAACCTACTAAAATCTGTACACCTAAAGAAACTAATCAAGAGGGAGGACTCTTGCTAAAATGCTCAATTCCTATCCAGAAAGGCAAAGAGGATGGACATCAGAAGAAGGAGAAAAGAGGGAACAAGTCAGGAGCCTGCCACAGAGGACCTCTGAAAGGCTCTGCCCTGCAGACTATCAAATCAGATGCTGAGACTTATGGACAACCTTTGGGCAGACTGCAGGGAATCTTATGAAAGAAGTGGGAGACAGCAAGATCTGGAGAGAACAGGAACTCCACAAGGAGAGCAACAGAACCAAAAATTCTGAGCACAGGGGTCTTTCCTGAGACTGATACTCCAACCAAGGACTATGCATGGAGATAACCTAAGACCCCTGCACAGATGTAGCCCATGGAAGTTCAGTATCCAAGTGGGTTCCATTATAACAGAACAGAGACTGTCTCTGACATGAACTGATTGGCCTGCTCTTTGATCACCTCCCCCTGAGGGGGAAGCAGCATTACCAGGCCACAGAAGATGACAATGCAGCCACTCCTGATGTGATCTGATAGACTAAGATCAGAAGGAAGGAGAGGAGGACCTCCCATATTTAGTGGACTTGGGGAGGGGCATGAGTAAAGAAAGGGGAGGGAGGGTGGAACTGGGAGGGGAGAAGAGAGGGGCTTATGGGGGATACAAAGTGAATAAAGTGTAATTAATAAAATAAAATTTTAAAAAGTACTTTCTCTTTACTATCACATTACTTTACTATGATTTACTGTAAAAATTTGTAAAAAAAAAAAAAAAAAGTAAAATATACTAACTTTGTGATTCATGATTTTCCCATATGTCTCCACCAAAGATTCAGCATAGAATGGTGTTTCTCCATAAAGCATTTCATACATGCAGACTCCTAACGACCACCAGTCACACTCGGGTCCGTATCTGCCTTTTCCATCTTCCATTGCTTGAAGGATTTCAGGAGAAATATAATCTGGAGTTCCAACTGCCACTGAAGACTGGACCTAAAGAAGTTCATATTTTTATTAACATACCATATTAAAAAATAACTAAATTAAAAATAGCTACTTGAGATATACAGTAGATAAAATTATAACAAGACATATTTGCCACCTGAATTTAGTCTCCTGGTTTACAGAATGATTTTATATGGCCTTTATGTTATTAGTTTTCATAATCTTACAGAGCCTTTACTCTAGCTATGCATACAAGAGAACAATACTTTCTGAGTCATTAATATTAAAATGAATATTTCACTTACAACATTATTATTGTTTAATTTTGGTTTGGTTGTCAGAAACAAGGTCTTGCTATATATCTAAGGCTAGTCTCAAACTTGCAATAATCCTCCCTCAGCTTCCCAAGTGCTAGATTATAGCACTTTTATATCAATTTTCTTATTGTTTTTAAAAAAACATTTATCTGTGCAATCAAGCTATCATACATATGTATACACATATTATGAACTGAAAATTTACAATCAGATATGAAAAGAAACAACTCATTCAGATTAACACTGATAATAATTTTAAATTCCTAAATAGAAACCTAAGAACACTGAAGACTGAAGTTTGATTATATACATCAAATTCTTAGTTGTACTGGGCATAATGGCACACAGCTTAAATACCACCCCTAGGTGGATCTCTATACATTTATGGCCAGCCTGGTCTATAAAGCAAGTTCCAGGCCAGCCAAGGATATTATCTAACAAGACCTTGTCTCAGAAACAAAACCAACCAACCAACCAAACAAACAAACAAACAAAAAACCCACTTTATTGAAAAAAGTATAGACTTTAAAGCCAGGCATGGTTGCACACACCTTTAATCCCAGAACTCAGGAAGGCAGTCCAGGATAGCCAAGGCTACATAGAGAAACCTTGTCTCTCGGGGGGGAGGGGAGGAGTTATAGACTTTAAAACTAAAATTCTTAATTTTAAAAAGTTGTAAATATAATTACAAGTCAGACAAATGAAAACTATAAATTAATAAATGATCACCTTATTTTAAGTATCTGGAAGAACTCTACACTCTCACTAACAATGACTGGGGCTCTTAAATCATCCACAGATAACATTTACTGCTCTGATTGGCAGCAGCTGTCCTTCTGGGAAGGAGATGACATTATGATGGGGTCTCGGGGTTTTTGATTTGCACTTCTGTAATGATAGGTCTTATTGAGCACCTTTCATGTACATATTCCCTTTGTAAATCTTTGGAAAATTCCTCTTCTTCTTCACTGGGGCTGTTTTTTCTGTTGTTGAGCTTGTAAGCAAAGCTCTTGGAAAGAACTATATGTTTCCCTGAGCCTTCCGCACTGACTGGACAGGCCAGAGCCCAATTACAATCTACAGCTGCTCATCACAGATTCTTATCATGTGATCAGAAAAGTGACTGGCAGATACTGGCCCAGCTCCATATGCTGTCTGTTCATTCTGTCCACTGTGTCATCTGATGCACACAAGTTTTTGAGGAGGATATAATTTAACGTTGTGGAATAGGAGAGCTGTGATTCTGTGTTATTCTTTGTTATTCTCAAGAAATTTGCCAAATCCTACCATAAATATTGTTACTTATGTTTTCTAAGAGATTTTTAGTTTTGTTTTTTTACAGCTCTTTGACTTATTTTAAATTAATTTCTGTATGTGGTACAAAGTAAAATAAGTTGATTTTGACTGGGAATGTAGTGGGAAAGTGATTAACTCTACATTAAGTAAACTATCAATATTTTTTCTAAAAAACTAAAGAGAGGCATTAAAATATTTAAAAAATGTTATCTTCCAAGGATAAAGAGAGTAAATAAGCTAAAATTGAGCTGCACAGAAGGTGACAGGAAAGAAAAAAAAAAGAGAGAGAAACAGCAGCACTGTGCAAATAACAAGCCGAACCTACAGTAATAAACAGCACAAGGTACAGCCTAAGTCACAAGATGCAAGAGGAGAAAAATCACCTGCTAAAGGACACAGATTTAACACTGGGGAAACAAATAAAACCAAATGAATAAATGAGAGAGAAACCAGTTAAAATAATTTATTTAAGCAAGACAGACAGAAACGGAAGCACACAAGTTCAAAGTGGTAAGTGGCCAGACCTGAGAAGTACAGTGCTTGCCTCCTTACATCAGAGGCTTGATTCCAAGATCAAACCCCATTACTCTGGCCTCCCTGCCACAAGGTATTAACTCAACAAAACACAGGGAAAACATAACACCAAACAGACTTGCAAGCATTAAAAAAAATGTGAATGAAAATTAATCAATATAAAACTACCTGTAATATCAAACAGAAGAAAGCAAGTTCTAAACTGCATAAGAAACAGATAATGCCTTTCCTATGCAATTGTAAAGGTGGGGCATGGATATGCTGTTCCCTATGTAAGGCCAGATCATTCATTAGGCAGGATCACTTTCAAACTCTGGTTTGTTTTACCCAACTTAGCTTTGGACTGTTCGAAACACTAGAGCAGATACTAACTGTTACAAAGTTAATGGCCAAAACCTCATGGTTCTGGTTTGCCTCTAGCCCTGCTCCATGATGATGCTCGGGTATTCTCTTCTGTGTTCCGTGGGTACCACTCATCTATGGTCTACAGGGCAATTTGCAGATGGCCCAGTTTTTGTGGTTAGTTTGGGGGACCATCTTTGCACAGGGCCAGTACCGAGCCTCGCAGATCCCAGCAGCTAAAGCTACCTCGTATGCCGTGCCTTCTCCCACACGCTGAACAACTGTTATTCTGTGTTCTAACTCTGGCCATGTCACCAGTCAGGAATGGTCCCAAGTCTGGGCAATTGGGAGTCTGGCACACCTTAAGAGTTGGTACATGCCTCCACGGCCACTGCCTGAAAAAACTTGTTTTAAACAACATGCTTAGCTTTATAGTCATCTATAGGTAGGAAAGATAATTCAGTACCAATTATTTTTTTCAACATGGCCACTATACTGCATTTTCAAAAATCACCTAAGAATAAAATTTCAGAGTCAGATACTAGTCAAGAATAATGTGATACATTCTTAGCTTTGGAACTTATTGATGTTTTTAAGCAGTATGTATGGGGAGAAAGTTCAGTGGGTAAAGCACTTGCCCTGCAAGTGTGAGGACCGAGTTTGAATCCTCAGAACCCGGGTATAGACAGGCGTGGTACAGAATGCCTCTAATACAGTTTCCTACTGTAACAGGGGAAGCAAAGACAGGGGAATGCCCAGAAGCTATGTATACAGTGGTGAATAAGAGACTCTGTCTTACGTAAGGTGGAAAGCAAGGACCCAGTTGTCCTCTGACCTCAACATGCACCTATATCCACATACCCAAATGCAAGCGCATACACATACATACACACACCTATATACACCACAGATACACAAATAAAAAGCAGTGAATTTTGAGAATATACTTTAATGGAACAAGAACTTAAAGATTTAATCATCAAAAGTCAAGCAAATGGGAACACAAAACTAATGCTACACAGAGTCTTCTTGAAAAAAGTATTTGTTGAATATTGTCCCTCAGAACAACTACATCATCAGAAAAAAGTACAAATGAGGACAAAGTTGTGTTTTCTTTTTCTACATGAAGCTTACATTCTTTATCACTCTAAAAACTTAGAAACATTTCAAAAAAGTAATGTATCAGCTAAAAAGGAAGACAAAAAAGCTTTCAAAAGTGCCATTCTCAACCAAGCAGATGAACTGACTTGTGTGAGCAAGCCTCATTATGAGCAGGTATGCCCAGTGCTTTGTAGAAGGTGGTAACGCACAGACAAAATGGATGGCTGGATAGACAGACAGTGTAAGCAGAGGGTATCTGGAGCATAGAAGACATGCGAGGGAAATGTTTGTGAGTAGAATAATTCATAATGCATGTTTATTTACCGTTCCATCTTCCATCAGCTTCAGACAAGAACCAAAATCTGCTAAACGAATATGTCCATTCATATCCATCAATATATTGTCAGGTTTGATGTCTCTGAAAAAAATAATTAAGTTTTAGTTGGAAAATAATATACCTTTACAAAAAAGGTATATTTTTTTTATAAAAAAAAGATACCTTTTACATGAAAAACTTCAATTGCTTTAAAATAATATTCTAAAAGAGGCAATCAGATCTTTGAGTTTGAGGCCAGCCTGGTTTACAAAGCAAGTTCCAGAATGGCCAGGAATACACACAGAAACCCCGTCTTAAACTAAAGAACCTTAAAACTTGTTTAGAATTTTGCACTCTAAGAGCACCTAAGTGCTTGATATCCAGCCGAAGCTGCCCAGTGCGTGGTCCTTTACCTGTCTACAAACAAGGCAGCTAAGCCACTCGGAACTTACTCAAGGCCCCTGCAGGGTTTACAACCAGGCACTCTGCCTCCAGATTCCATATTCTACACTATTTATCAACATTCAGTCTTTAGTGACAATTTATCAGTGACTAAACTAGTGGCTTTCAATGAGGTCTTTGTGTTTTTGTTGACTTTTTAAAAACAATATTTGCCTATTAGTCATCCCTTATTTCTGTATTTTTTTCATTAGTTTTAATTAGCTTTATTTTACCTTTTTTCTTCTCTATAATTCAAGCTAATTTTGTCTTCTTTCCCAGCTCCCCAAGTTAGAGACTTAATTCATTTTTCACCTCATTCCTTTTCCAATATTTTCATTTAAGGTTAGAGATTTTATTTTACTGCAGAAGTTTATGGAGCCGTGTCACACAAGCGCTGATATGGAGCACTTTTATTTTCTCTTCATTATAAATTTAAATTTCCATTGTGCTCTCTCCAAGCCATAGCTTACATCTTAGAACTAACTGCCTGTTATCTCAGCACTCGGGAGAATCAGAAGTTTATGGTCAATCTGGGCTATAGGAAAAAAGAATAATCATTAGACAAGGCTTCCCTGATGTCTCAGAAAGGAAATGTCTCACTTCATAAATCTCAATTCACCTTTAGGGTCCCCACCACAACTGTAATTTCAAATGAAGTGTTACTAGTTGGTTAATATTTATCTCCCTTCTACCCAGAAAGAACTATGAAGGCCCATAGCATATCTACTTTCCTCCCCATTGAGTCTTCAGTATCCAGTGCAGGTGCTATGTTAATAACTTCATAAACTCAACAATGTCCTGCATTTGGACAGCAAGGAGTTGAGAGGCTTCTTGCAATGATAATAAACAGCACTTTCCTTTCAGTAGCTAAAATCAAAGCCTGGAACTGGATGGAATATAATCATTTCTTCGAAATGAAACAATTCTAGTAAGATTTAGTGGTTTTATAAAACTGTATCATTGTGTGTGCCAGAACCTGCTTATATCCCTATCCTGGGGAAGTCTATTGCTTCCAGTTTTCCTACTAAAGAGAACTGCAACACACTACAACACACACTCCCCTCCAACAAAGACTGTAATCGATGTTCTCATGATGTAGATGAGTCACATTCTAGATTATTTCCTTATGATACATTTATGAATAATTTGGATAAGAATAGATGTGGAGACATACATCAAGCTTTTGAGGAAAACAAACAGATGAAACATATCATTGCCAGGAGAAAAAAATACAATTATGAAATCTCAACTTAGTCAACAGTGAAGAAGCACAGTTTATCAGTCTATGACAATAATAGGGAATATCAATCACTTTAACCGTTGTCAATCTCATAATTAAAATACAGTACTTATTTCTTTGATTACTTGTAGCATTAAACATTTTATTCACACAATATGTTGCATCTTTTATTAATTTATTTGTGTCCATTAATTAACTTATCAGTTATACATTAAAGTTTTTTACTGCCCTATGTTTTGAAAATACTGACACATTCCTTTTGATCACAACTTCATAACAAAGCATTTCCCTATTTCTCAGTAAATACATTGTCCTTATTTTCCTCCATTCTTTGTGTCTGTTATTCCTTTCTTTTTCACCCTCAGAAACAATTCCTAGAATAAAGATCAGATAAATCTGGCCATCTTGGAATAAAGCTATAAAATAAGTAGCTTTACATAAAACCATGGCTTCCTTCAGGACAAAAAGGATGTGATCACAATGATGCATGTCGACTGCATTAATTTTGTGTGTTAATTTTTCTTTAAAAAATGTATCTGCTAAACCTCAGAGTTGGGCATTTGACAAGAGGATACAAACCAAACAGAGGGGGAAAAGAAGCCACAGCTGTTGGTGTCTCTAGAAGGTCCACACTCCTCCCCAGCTCTAAGACAGCATCATGGAATCAAAACTGCTGTGCATGTAAGGGACTGAGTCACAAACCTGATCATTCTTGGCACTTGTTTACCCCACCAAAAGGGGCCATAAAGACGTCTAACTGAATTTTTAAAATTCATATTTGGGGGCTGAGTTTGTGGCTCAGTAGTACAGTGCTTGTCTTCCATGTGTGATACATCATTTGATTTACATGAATACTTGAAATGTGACTATCTAGTACTTGGTACATATGGAAGGAAGGAAAACAGAATAAATTAATTAGCCAAGAAATGTAAAAATCTGAGGCAGTTACAAGAGCAGGGGATATTTTGGCTCACAAGGCCCTAGATTCCATCCCCAGCATACAAAATAAGTACACACAAAAAAGAGTTAATTTAAAAATTAATTCAATGTTTTGGTCTCAAGCTATGGCTCAGTGGTAGAAACCCCTGGGTTCTATTCCTGGCACAGGAAAAAACTATTAGACACAGTAAACTAGACTCTAGTTGAAAACTTCTCAACTAATCAAGAAAATGCACAAGATTTAAAATGATCATAACCACTTCACCCAAATTAATAAATACTTAATAATTAAAATAAGTTTTATCTTATGTTATTATTATCCCTTAGAAAACTACTTGTTTTCTACTGAGAGACAGAAAGGGAGTGAATCTGGATGGAAGGGTAGATGGGGAGAAACTGGGAGGAGTAGAGGGAGAGAAAGCCGAAATCATAAGCATATACACATACATACATATACATACACACCTCTGACTAAAATGAGAGGAAAAGAATAAAGGATGAGATAAAATGATTAAATAAAATAGTCTATAAGAACCAATTCAACAATTTCAGTATGAATAGCACTCTTAGTGGTAATACTACTTAGTACATACAAATAGAAAATAGAAAGCTAGTCCTCTCTCATCTTTGCATCTCCTTGTCTTGACACTAAAAATCTTCACAGGTACATAAAATATATTCTTATGCTCCCCTCATATACACCATCAAAAACAAACAAACAAAAAACAAGGTTATAACAATCAACAGGAAAAAACTCACACGTGAAAGTAAGGAAAAACAGAACAAGATGAAAGAGAGACCTTAAAACACTCCGCCCTAGATGGGATGTCTCCATCAAATCCCTTCCCTCAGTGCTCAGGGAATGTGCAGAAGAGGAGGTGGAAAGAGTGTAAGAGCCAGAGGGGATGGAGGACACCAGAAGAACAAGTCCATCTATCTCAATACAAACAACACTCATATGAACCCACAGAGACTGAGGAAGCATGTACAAGTCCTTTGCATATATGTTACGGCTTCCAGTTTAGTGTTTTTATTGGATCACTGAGTGTCTGAACAAGTGGGTCTGCTTCTTGTGCCTTCTCTTGTGCTCTTTTTCTTCTATTTGTTTATTTTGTCCAATTCCAATGTGTTACTTTTTATTTTATTATTATCCCTTAGAAAACTGTCTTCTAATGAGAAGAAGAAAGGGAATGTATCTGGACTGGAAAGGAGATAGGGAGAAACTAGAAGCAGTAGAGGGAAAAAAAAAACAGTCAAGATATAGTGTGTGAGAAATATATTTTCAATATAAGAAAAAAGATGAAGGAGGTACAATTTTATAAATCAGAAAACAAATATACACTAAAATGGAGAAAAGAAAATAAATGATAGTTGTATATAAGTTGAAAAGATGAGTTAACTAGCACAATACACCACTTGAATTACGTGACTACTTGAAATGTGATTATATAGTATTTGGTTTGTATGGAAGGAAGGAAAGAGAATCAAAGTATTAGGAAAAAAAAAAGTACCAATTGGAGCAGTTACAAAAGCAGAGTATTTTCTGTCTCAGCAGTAAACAGCATTTACAAAGTCCCAACCAGGTACAACTCCAGAGAAGAAAAAGAAGTGGTGCAATCAGTGAGAGCAGGCTTGAGGGGAAAGCAGAGCTCCAACATTCCTCGGGCAGCTGAGAGCCTATAAGAGTCCTTATAAACTGCCTGAAACTGCCAAGTCCTGAAATGTCTGAAATTAGATGTCATGATGCCAGACACATGGGAATAAATAACAGAAAGACAAAGCTTTAAAGAGACTGGATATGGCTGCTGCTACAGAGCAAGCTTAAGAGAGAGAAGCTACTTTTCAATATAAATATTATTTTATTCACACAGTACTTATATACATTTATGAAGTATGGTGTGATGTTTTCATTCCTACATATATCACCTTCAGAGCTGTAGACAACCTCTTCCTAACCCCTCATCCCTTTCCCATAACAGCCCTGAATAACTGACAACAGTTCTGAATAACTGATATGGAAAGACAAGTCAAACAAACCCTCCTGAACTACAGATAGGGATTTATTTATTTATTTTTATTTATTATTTTTTTTATTTTTTTGGTTTCTCAAGGCAGAATTTCTCTGTGTAGCCTTGGCTGTCCTGGACTCGTATTGTAGACCTAGTTCAAGGCTGGCCTTGAACTCACAGAGATCCACCTGTCTCTGCCTCCCTGATTGCTGGGATTACCAGTGTGTACCACCGTGTCCCGCTAAAAAAATATTTTCAAAGAATTCAAGTGCAATGACAGGTAGCCAGAACATGATTATACAAATATTATCATGATAATCATGAAATGTGAATTTAATGGTATTAGTTTAACCTACAAAATGGTATTTTTTAACTCTGGCTAACCATCAAAGTACCTAGAGACATCCTGAGTCAGAATTTTGTGCAGGAACTGGCACTGAGGGCTAAGTTAAGATCTGTATTTTTCTTTCCCA